TATTGCTACCAATGTCCATTCATCTGCTCTGCCCTGCTTGTTTATACATGCAGCACACTGCGAGGTGTGAGTTAGGAACAAGCGTGCTGGGAGGCTGGGACTCTTTGCAGCCGTGGTGGGGGCTCAGCTTAGTGGGCAAGGGGCCAATATGTCTTTTAACATGTTTACATGGGGACCTCATGCCAGCATTAAGGGTCCACAAGCAGCTTGAAAAAGGTTTAACTGAATATCGAATGCTAAATTTGTTTGATGAAAAGGGTAACGAGAGCACGCGCTGAGCCAGGCTGTTTTTATTGTTGCTGTTTCATCAAACATTAACTCCTAAGCCTTGGTGCACCATGGTACCTGTGCCCTAAAAGAAATCCTAGGAGAACAGCTGGCTGGGTTTGATTTAGTCTGGATCAGTTAATAAATCCCAGATTAAAGGATGATGTATCTTCCCATAGAGAAACCAGAATGAATACCTCATGGCTGTATGCCTCTGTGAACCCGTCAAGTTGCAGATACAGTTTACATCCATGTCTGTGAAAACATGGACGCTTCACACACATCTTCCCCTCACAAGCACAAGATCTATACAATCAGCACAGTTTCAAGGTGGGTACCCAAGATTAGTGTCACCAATTCAGCATCTGACCAAATCTGATGAAATCCAAATCCTGAGATGACACTGTGTAATGAGCAGGGAAGTGTTTTTGCAGAACATTTCGATGTCACAGTGAAGTTGACCTTTTGCCTTTTGGATTTTCAGTGTCATCACTCCATCATTTTATTCTACTAGACATTTTTGTGATATTTTATTATAAATAGCAATATGAATTTCTGAGTTATGGCCAAAAACATAATGACCTTGACCTTTGACTTTTGAACACCAAATTCTAATCAGTTCATTGTTGAGTCAAAGTGGAGGCTTGTGCCAAATTTGAGGACGGAAGGCCTTCATGAGATATCAAGTTCACAAGAATGGTCTTGAGATATGCGACGGACGAGGTCATGGTAACCGTGACTTTTCACCACCAGAAATACTCAGTTCACAGTTGAGATCATTTGTGCCAAATCTGAAGAAATTTCCCCAAGGAATTCTTGAGATATCACGTTCACGAGATTGGTACGAATTGAAAATATTTTATTACCTTTACTTTGTCTTGTGTAAGAGAGAAAATAATGCATGTATGCGCATGCATATGAGTGCAACTCCACCCAGATTTACACAGCAGATTGTGTTAAAGTTGATTTTAATAGCAGAAGAAACTGAGCTGTTCCCTCGAAGGACCGATATGAAGCTGAGCTGAGCTCGACTGTGTCAGGTCCACCTAAAATAAGGTGGCATTCATTTAAGGAACAAATCAAAGAAAACATGCTGAAAAGGAAATTTCATTACAGTACCTGAACCTACTTTCATGCCAAGTCAAATTCACTGCTCTCCAGAGCTCAATTTACTTTTCCATTCGATTTTCCATTTCGACTCATTTTCCATTGTGCCGTGCAAAAACCACGTACTGGGACGTGACAGGGCAGCTGGGAGATTACAAGAGGTCTGTAACTTAAAATGCAACACTGACAAAAAGAGAGAGAGAGAGAGAGAGAGAGAGAGAGAGAGGGAGAAAGGAAGAAAAAGGGAACCCCCTGTTTCACTTTTTGGGCGTGAGTTAATGGTTTTCATGCTCGCACACAAACTGGCTGTCAGGACGCATGGTGGAGCCCGCCAATCACCTGAGTGAGCAGGTTTGAGTTCAGTGTATGCCGAAAAGCGCTTTAATGGCCTCAGGTGACTCCTCCCCCAGTTCCTCTACCTCCTCTCTGCTATCTTTTACACATCTGCAAACCTTTTTTACACTTTATCTATTCTTGGACTGGGAGCTTTCCTCTGTCATGTCCCCCAGTTTGAGGGTTTGACCCTCCCTGGGGGTAGCCTGAGGTCTTTCTCTCTGGTGCCATCACATTCTCCTGGTCATCTATTTCTCTCAGTTTCTAACTCAGTCCTCTAGGAAGTGGTTATTCATGGGATGTCAAACCATGCAACACTGTCCCAGCTGCTGTCAGCAGCCTGCTGTAATGATCCAACAGGATACATCACTGATGCTGCCATCAGTCTATAGATGCACAATTAGCGCACTGTTCACAGAGGAAATACAGTATGGAGAAAGAGTATCATGGTGATAGAATAGACATGTCATTTCAAAACAATATCCTCACAGTTTCAAGTCATTAACTGTAAAATTTACTGTGGGCTTCACAATTACATTAGTCAAAGTCTCATTTAAAGGTCCAGTGTGTAGGAGTTATGGAAACCTATTGGCAGCAATGGAATGTGATATTTCCAACTATGTTCTTATGAGTGTATAATTACCTGAAACTGACAATTATTACGTTTTCTTTACCTTAGTATGAGCCATTTCTATCTACATATGTAGATTCCGCTATATTGTTTCTACAGTAGCCCAGCACAGATAAACCAAACACCGGCTCTAAAGTGGGCCATTTGCATTTTCGTGTCGGCCAGTGTAGTTCTCCTTGCCTGGTAAGACCATCCTGATGACGTGAGCTCAACATTCTGTGTTGACCTTTGTATCAATCTGGCCCCACTAACCCCCCAAACACTTTCCTGAAATTAAAATCCAGTTGGGGCTAATCAGTTATCCACTCTGTAGTTGATAACGTAAGAAGCCAATCAAGGACTGCGTTGTTGTTGATGACGTAAAATACAGGCTGCAGTTCCTGCTACCTAGTAGGGTAAACACAGCAATAAGTGGAATTATTGGGAATGGGAAAGTTTCAGCTCTGCATTCTCACCGCTAGATACCCCTAAAATGGCCACTTGTGGCAGAACTCCACAACAAGCTGAAAACACACGTTGGCATTATAAAGTAAAAATAGCTAACATCATTTACGCATCCAGCTGTCATAAAGCAACATTAGCATTTGAATTTAAATTTGTGTTTGTTGCACTCTGACAAATTTAGGTCAAATACTCACTCTCACTTTAGCTCTGTTTTGGTCTCCACCAACTCCTGAGAAAAGTAACTGGGTCTTTAGCTGCTAGATGCTTCACTATGTTTGCTAGCTAGTTGCTAACTTTATCTGTCTGCTGTTTGGTGTTGGGCAGGTAGAGTACAATATGTTTACCAGAGTATTTTAGCTGTTTAGCCACCTGTTTCTGAAAACAAGGTTGATGAGCGCTGTGAGCATAAACCAGTATGGTACATTTGTGGGCCAGAAAATCAAAACAATCAAACACTGAACCCTAACCAAACCAATGGGCTAAACAGACTAGAAAGCTGCAAAGTTTGGAGACAATTCTCTGTGTTACACATATTGATTGATCCATTGCTTATATAAGAATATTGATTAGCACAGCTAAAAGAAGATAATTAAAGATCAGCTCTAGGCCTTTTATTTACGTGGTTTAAAGATTAAAACTTCTGCTCTTTTACATTCCTAAAAACAACTAGACCAATGTTATATTCATTTTTTGAATGTGTAATTATATGAACCAAACATTTCCAACAATGTCCAAACCCAGAGAAATCTGTGATTTAATCAAGGACACGGTCCATGTCATTTGGTCGCTGTCAGTGGTGTCATATCCTCTTTGCACATGTGATAGGGGTGTCTTTATCTGCAAAAAGTGGTCATGAACTGAGTTTTTATCCAGTTTAAAGCTACAAACTACTGGATTTTGGTCATTTTTAACTTTATGTTTTAACCAGATGCAGGATTTTAGTCATCTGGCTCTTAAGTTATCCAAGAAACAAGTTGAGAAAATGTTAGTGGCAGCTCAGCTCCAGTCTCTGCTATGCCAAACAGCATCAGCAAGAAACATGTTCAAAGTAAACTGCTTTATTCAGTGTTTTCATTGGTTGTAATCACCTAGTTTGCCTGTTTTAAAGAAGAGGAGACCTCTGTGGATAATTTGGCTCCTGGTAAGAATGTCCTAAACAATAAACACTGACTGTAATGATGGCCTTGCTCTGTCTTTTGTTGTTGTTTTGACTGAGAGACACCTGGCAGCAAACAATTACATATTGTATGTTTAAAGGGCTACTTCACTAACTTCACTTCATCACACCTTAAAGAAGCTGGGGGACTCGCAAGACACTTGCACTTTCAATTCCTAGTGTAGGTCAGACATAAACTAGAATTACTGCCTTGCAGGTGTATGCCTTCACAAACCAGTCAAGTTGCAGTTATAGTTTACATCCATGTTAGGGCAGACTCATATGTAGCTATGACAGCTGACATGCTTCAAATGTTTCTGCAAAGAAACTTAATTTTTAAAAATGAGGTTGCTTCACACACATCTTCCCCCCGACAGCGCAGAAGATCTATACAATTGGGACAGTTTCAAGATTAGCATCACCAATTCAGTATCTGAGCAAATGTTTGCCTTTCTGTTCCTGAATTATGGTATTAAATAATGGCAAGAAAAGTGTTTCTGCAGAACATTATGATGTCACAGTGAAGCTGACCTCTATTATATAAAAATATTTAAAAAAAAATATTATTCTATAAGACATTTGTTGAAATTTTGTCATAATAAACATATGAATTCTTGAGTTACAGCCAAAAACATGTTTTGTGAGGTCACAGTGACCTTTGACCACCAAATTCTAATCAGTGCATTCTTACGTCCAAGTGGGTTGCAAATTTTGAAAAAATTACTTCAAGGTGTTCTTGAGAGATCGCATCACGAGAATGCGATGGATGCAAGGTCACAGCGACCTTGACTTTTGGTGTTTGTGCTAAATTTGAAGAAATTCCCTCAAGATGTTCTTGAGATACTGCGTTTACAAGAATGGTATGTATGGAAGTATGGACAACCTGTAAACATAATGCCTCCACCCACAACTACTGCCAGCGCAAAGTCATAAAAATGATGAATGAACAGCAATGAAAAATTTGTGTTTTGGAATATAACACATGGGCTGGCATCTTCCACCTCGCCCTGTCTGAAGTCTAGCAAAGGTGACAGAGGTGCAGTACTACTTGCTAGTTGTTACCTATAAGAGAGTTGAGGGAAGAATAGGAGGACACCCTTCTCATTTTATCGATGGTCTCAAAGGAGAGGATGTACTCGTCATTGTCAGGGCTCCCCAGGGTACTGCTGGCGCTGCTGCTGGTGCTCAGGTTACCGGGAGAGAAGGCTGCTGGTCCACCTGAACGAAGAAACACACACACACACACACACACACACACACACACACACACACAAAACTGTTACCCTCAGATCCAATCAGCAAAAAAATTCATAAGCATCATAAATGTAACACCAAGAGGTTCTTATTTTGTTTAGAAAGCACTTTAGCCGCGATAAAAGCGGAATATAAATAAAGTTTATTATCGTTATTATTGTTGTAAAAAGCCAATAGCCAAATCAACATCCAATAAGGTGTAAGGTGTGTAAACAGTGGAAGCAGTCCTTATACTTGGAGGCTACATGCCAACACAAGACCTTGCTCATAACATGATTTCAGCTGTCAGGCTCACTCATCTCGTGCTCTAACTCTTCTTATCATCAAACATTACTCTGACTCATATAAACCCAAACACCATGCATCGTCCAAACTGACTGCAGGCTGGAATGTGGAAATGGAGATTGGTAGAGAGTGGAAATACATTCTGCTGTGTGCTTATTGATGATAAACACCACTGCATATTGGAATGAGCACTGAGAATATGAATTAGAAATTGTATCAGCAGTAGGTTACGCGCCTCACCAAGTGCCAGTGATTTAACTCCACTCAGGGCTCATGCATTACTCAGTCTGGCAGTGGGCGGGCAGTTTGTGTCACAGCAGTGACACAAACAGGAGGTTTAGAGCTCCAAGGTGACAGCAGGTCATGTGTTCACAAAGCTGTGGACATGGATGTCAGGCTCACATGACGATGGCTTAAATCATTACATGATTATTTTGCTTAGCTTGATGATTACCTATCATGATTATGCATCTATTTTTTAAGGAACAAAACAGTTTACTGCTACAAATTTACAGTTAAAGCTATTTATTTTTAATATTTCACCAGAAAAAAGTCCAAGTCTGTAACTTCAAGACCTCATGAAATACCAGGGTTGGAAATTAGCACCAGCCACCAACCTAATGCTGGTAAAATATGCAAGTGGCTGCTGGATTTGCTTCACTCATCAGCCAAAAAAACAATGGTAATCATTTAAGTGGCTGGTAGATTTTGGAATCTAGCAGCCAGAGTGGCAGGTGGACAAAAAAGTTATTTTCCTTAATTAAAAGTGTTTCATCTCAAAGGGACAGTTCACCCAAAATAAAAAAATACATATATTTTTCCTCTTACCTGTACTGCTATTTATCAAGCTAGATTGTTCTGGTGTGAGTTGCTGAGAGTTGAAGATATTGGCTGTAGATATGTCTGCCTTCTCTCCATTATAATGGAAGGTAATGGCACTCAGCTTGTGGTGCTCAAAGCACCACAAAAATACATTTGAGAAACTCAGCAGCAGTGTCTTTTTCCAGAAATCATGACCCGGTTACTCAAGATAATCCAAAGACCTTGTTGTGAGCAGTTTCTTGTAGGAACTATTTTCTTTATACCCAACTGCACCTGCCAACTGTGTCACTGTGCAGAAGGAAGTGTGCATCTACTCATGGATGAGAGGTTTGTGCTCGTGACAATGTGAGATGTAAACATTAATGTGTCCTCCTTGGCTTAGCTGGAACGTTAGCTAGCTCAGTGGTTTTAGGTGAGCTAGCAGTACAGTAGATGCATGCTTCCTTCTAGTGATACGGTAGAAAAGAAAATAGCTCCTACATGAAACTGCTCACAACAAGGTCTGTGGATTGTCTTGAGTAACCAGGACATGATCTCTGGAAAAAGACATTGCTGTTGATTTTTTCAAATGTACTTTTTTGCCATTTTGCCAAGCCGAGTGCCATTTAGCTCAACTATATTGGAGAGAGGGTAGACATCTCTATGGCCAATATATCCAACACATTTGGCAACTCACATCAAAAAAAATCTAGACTGATGAATTGCATTACAGGTAAGAAAAATATGTATTGCTGTTTTGAGGGTGAACTGCCCCTTTAAAGCTATAACTCCTTATGACACCACAAAATGCAAACACAACACACTCTTCCCTTTTAAGACACTGCAGGTTTTCGGAGCACACAGCTAGGCTGTGTTTGAGAAGCAGAGGTATTTTGTTTGCCTAAAAACAAATACCTGTGATTGGTCAGATAGAATCAATCCCATTCTGGCCTCAACACACCTGCTCTCTCTTCTCTGCCTCTTTTTGAGTGTTTGCCTAATAAACCAGCACGGGGGAGTGGAGGAGCACAAAAAATAAAAAAAAAAAAAAAAAAAATCCAACACTAGTGCAACTTAACAAACTGCACTAACCCTAAACACAACCGTACATGGCCGAGAATAGACAAAATGTAACTTCTGTCAGGGTGCTTAGCCATAGATCACATTTTTATTACACTGATTTTTCACTGTAAATTGAAGGGATCTCACAGATAAGTGAAGTGAAAATAGGAAAGCAAAGACATTACTTTGTCAAAAAATATTTAGCTAGTTCCCCTTATCTTATAGTATTTGCACACACCAATTAAAACAGAGAACTTAGAGCAAGTGCTCATTGTTCTGGATGTGTAATACATCTACAGGAAAACCACATAATACAATGTAACAGCTCGGGGAGCTATCTACGTATCTGTGTCCATGGTGACGGATGTTTCCTGCTCATGGATGAGAGAAGTGCGTGTGTTCCTGTTACAATTTCGTGGGCTGGTCTCAACAGGCCTACAGTTCAGTACCATGGACATCTCCCAGTCCCTACTGGGGATCAGGCAGGCTCAAGTCTGCTCGTTCACTGGAGGACTGACTGAGCTGAGAGAAAGGAGCACAATAGCATATTTGTTGTCCCTGTTTGCTCCCTCCTTCTTTTTTGGCAAGTATGTAAATAAATATTCAGTGCAAGAATGTCAGCCTCCTAAATCTACACCATATTTTTGCTAAAAACTGGGACAATAGATGTAAAATAAATTTCCAAAGTGCCACTGACTTTGGGGCAGATATCTGTGGCACAATGGTGAAGAAAAAACAAGAAGAAAGAAAATTAGAGGCAACAACTATAAAACTTGGAGCCAATAGCATGAGCAACTATAAACAGTAGAACCCAACACTGAGTTGTTGGAGGAATTTTGGAAGAGTTGCTTTATAAACTAAAGTTACCACTTAATGGTTGCAAACACCTCTGTGAACCAGTCAAGTTGCAGTTACAGTTTACATCCACGTCTGTAGCCATACAAGCTGACAATGCTTCAAATGTGTTTGCAAAGAAGCTGCATGCTTTGAAACGTGGTTGCTTCACACACATCTTCCCCTCGACAGCACTGAAGATCTATACAATCAGCACAGTTTCAAGGTGGACACCCAAGATAGGTGTCACCAATTCAGCATCTGACCAAATGTCTCTTCTTCTGTTACGGAGTTATGGCATTTAGCAATGGCCAGAAAGCTGTTTTTGCAGAACATTATGATGTCACAGTGAAGCTGACCTCTGACCTTTTAAATACAAAATGCAATCACTTTACACTCATTATACTCTATTAGAGATGTGTCTGAAATTTTGTCATAAGCCTTTAAGTCGAAAACATAATATCTCCAGCCACAGCTATCACTGGCACGGAGGCATTAAAGTGCTCTACAGGACTGTGATAGAGAAATTGAAGAGATTCACCCATCACAAATGAGCCGGGGCAATTTGAACCTGACATTTAAACTGCTTAAATTAGAAATTAAAAAACTCTCAGGAGACATTAGCCAATTAAAAAGGTTTTTGGAGTCTGAGGCGATAATTGACAAAACCTTAATTTAAGTTAAGTTGACATGTTTTATTACTTAAAATTCATTTTAATGGGTACTGCTGCTTGATTCCTGAATGCTGGGTGCCCTCCACAGCTGCAAGAGTTGCTTAATGTGGAGTGACACTTCATACTCAAGTGATAGCAGATAGCAATTGCTTTCGGAAAGAGCCAAAGTTCATCAGTGAAGAGGGAGCATTATTTTGGAAGCCAACATCTTGATAATGTGTGCGTAAAACAAATTGTGCAGTTGTAATAACAGGTCAATGTGTGTTCTGGCATTTATCCACAATACTCATTAGTAAGACTTGGATGGCAAGGATGAGGAGCATTTTGCAGTTACCGTACTTGTGCATATGAGCTGGACTGGAATAAATGTCAACTCAAATTGAACTCTTATCTCTACTTGTCCAACTGGTCACAACCTCTCTGCTGGTTGTAAAACCTCTTATTGACATTTACTGAGTCAATCTCAGGAATGTAAATGCTAGAATAAAGAAGTTAGCCTGAGGACTGTTACGTTCACAGTCCAAAGCTGATGTGGAGGAAGAAAACCCAATGAAATGTGCAAATGGTCTCTCCTTGGATTAATTCCTGTCATTCAGCTGACTAAATCTGCCTCTTTGTCTTCATTCAGTCCTCCTACACTCATCTAAATTTCTGCTTCATCTTATTTATCTCCCTCCCATCTGCCTTATTTTCTTTCTCGCTCCATTCCCAAGCACTCTCCCTCCTACCCTCTTCATTGAGGTTGAGGTTCTGCAGGCTCTTGTTCAGGTTGCGGGCAGTGGTGGCAGCTCGGATGTTGGTGTAGGAGTTGACTGATCGCAGGCGTGGGATGGCTGGGCTGTCCCGCACTGGAGTCAGGTTACCAGGCTCTTGACATAAACACAGGAAGACATACATCAGGTCAGAGCCAGATAATTACAAACAAGTAAAAATAAATGTTGTTCTAATGAGTGTAATGTTAGAATAAACAGCACTCCATGATAAGACTAGACCCATATTAATCTGACTAGATTCATTCAAGGGAGGCACTTTTTTTCCCCAATACCTGGAGAATTGTTAACACAATTTACACTGATCTTTACACACAGCACTCCAGAAATGGTAATATCCTTAGCTGCAGAGAAGCATTTTACTAGGTGGAGTGTGAGAGTATTCTTTTTGAGAATTTTTGCCCAAATTTAATTTTATGGTGAAACTGACATACACAGGTCCTTAGGCATGTATTTGCACAAACAATGTACAAATCAGATAAATCTTTCTTTCTTCTCCTATTACTTTTCCATCTTTCCATCTGGGAGCCTCTTGCTATTTCACTGTGATAAGAGTTGTGCATTTGAGGGGAGTTCACTGTACATAGTAACATTATATGCAGATGACCTTCTTTTGTTTGTCAGGAATCCAATATGATCTATTCCATCTGTTCTGGATAAACTGGATCAATGTGGGAAATTGGCTGGTTATAAACTTAGTTTGGGGAAAAAAATAATTACATCCCGTCAACCCAGAGTCAAAAGAGTCAATATTTGAATTAAGAAAAGAAAAAAAAAGTCAGTTCTTACTTGGTCTTGATCTTATGACCTCCTCCTTACATCTAATCTAAAACCTCTGATAGATATATGTAGGACAGATTAGGAATGATGCTGAACCCTCCCCCTCTCCATGGCAGGAGACACCAACCTTATTTAAATGATCATTGTGTTTTCAAAACATTCCACTTTTGACCCCCCAAAAAACAATCTGCCTGCCACGCATTAATAGATGTTCTCTTGAGATCCTTATGGATAGTCCAGCCAATAATCTTATCATATCCCATATTCTTAGAATGTGGTCACAATTTAGGAAATACTATGGCCTACACAGTCCTTCCGTTAAGGCACTCAAATAATCCAACCATCACATGGAAATGGGATTCATTTATTTAGTAATCTATGTTGACTCTGCTGTTCCATTCTCTGTAACACAAATACAACCTGTGTGTGTGTGTGTGTGTGTGTGTGTGTGTGTGTGTGTGTGTGTGTGTCTCCAGTACCTGCGGTGTTGGCTGGTGATGGCACTGTGTAGTTCTTCTCCTCTTCTATAAACTGAAGGGCAACTGTACAGAAGTTGCTTTCATACTGGACCACCAGGTGACTCAGCGCTACAACCAGCTCCTGTCAAATTTGTACGGAAAGAGAACAGGAAACATAATGATCGTTCACTTCCACTAATTTCTTTAACTTCATTTCTTGGTATCTTCAAGCCACACAGGATTTTTCCAGGTATAATGGTAACAAATGAGTGCTAAATCGCTAACATTAACAATAAATTATTAACGCATTGACACAGTGGTTTTCAAATTATGATATGTGTCTCACTGGTGGTGCACAGAATCCCTCTACTGGTTTGCAGAGGAATCTCCAACATATGTATTTTTTAATCAGAATCAGAATCAGAAATACTTTATTGATCCCCGAGGGGAAATTATTTATGTTACAGGTGCTCCTTGCAAGAGAGGAAAGATACGTGAATATAAGAAATTTAAACAATAGTATTTACAAATATATAGTTAAATAAACAGGAATGATTAACAAACATAAACGTAAATAAATAAATAAATAAATAAATATATATATATATATATATATATACATACAGTACAGGCCAAAAGTTTGGACACACCTTCTCATTCAATGCGTTTTCTTTATTTTCATGACTATTTACATTGTAGATTCTCACTGAAGGCATCAAAACTATGAATGAACACATGTGGAGTTATGTACTTAACAAAAAAAGGTGAAATAACTGAAAACATGTTTTATATTCTAGTTTCTTCAAAATAGCCACCCTTTGCTCTGATTACTGCTTTGCACACTCTTGGCATTCTCTCCATGAGCTTCAAGAGGTAGTCACCTGAAATGGTTTTCCAACAGTCTTGAAGGAGTTCCCAGAGGTGTTTAGCACTTGTTGGCCCCTTTGCCTTCACTCTGCGGTCCAGCTCACCCCAAACCATCTGGATTGGGTTCAGGTCCGGTGACTGTGGAGGCCAGGTCATCTGCCGCAGCACTCCATCACTCTCCTTCTTGGTCAAATAGCCCTTACACAGCCTGGAGGTGTGTTTGGGGTCATTGTCCTGTTGAAAAATAAATGATCGTCCAACTAAACGCAAACCGGATGGGATGGCATGTCGCTGCAGGATGCTGTGGTAGCCATGCTGGTTCAGTGTGCCTTCAATTTTGAATAAATCCCCAACAGTGTCACCAGCAAAACACCCCCACACCATCACACCTCCTCCTCCATGCTTCACAGTGGGAACCAGGCATGTGGAATCCATCCGTTCACCTTTTCTGCGTCTCACAAAGACACGGCGGTTGGAACCAAAGATCTCAAATTTGGACTCATCAGACCAAAGCACAGATTTCCACTGGTCTAATGTCCATTCCTTGTGTTTCTTGGCCCAAACAAATCTCTTCTGCTTGTTGCCTCTCCTTAGCAGTGGTTTCCTAGCAGCTATTTGACCATGAAGGCCTGATTGGCGCAGTCTCCTCTTAACAGTTGTTCTAGAGATGGGTCTGCTGCTAGAACTCTGTGTGGCATTCATCTGGTCTCTGATCTGAGCTGCTGTTAACTTGCGATTTCTGAGGCTGGTGACTTGGATGAACTTATCCTCAGAAGCAGAGGTGACTCTTGGTCTTCCTTTCCTGGGTCGGTCCTCATGTGTGCCAGTTTCGTTGTAGCGCTTGATGGTTTTTGCGACTCCACTTGGGGACACATTTAAAGTTTTTGCAATTTTCCGGACTGACTGACCTTCATTTCTTAAAGTAATGATGGCCACTTGTTTTTCTTTAGTTAGCTGATTGGTTCTTGCCATAATATGAATTTTAACAGTTGTCCAATAGGGCTGTCGGCTGTGTATTAACCTGACTTCTGCACAACACAACTGATGGTCCCAACCCCATTGATAAAGCAAGAAATTCCACTAATTAACCCTGTTAAGGCACACCTGTGAAGTGGAAACCATTTCAGGTGACTACCTCTTGAAGCTCATGGAGAGAATGCCAAGAGTGTGCAAAGCAGTAATCAGAGCAAAGGGTGGCTATTTTGAAGAAACTAGAATATAAAACATGTTTTCAGTTATTTCACCTTTTTTTGTTAAGTACATAACTCCACATGTGTTCATTCATAGTTTTGATGCCTTCAGTGAGAATCTACAATGTAAATAGTCATGAAAATAAAGAAAACGCATTGAATGAGAAGGTGTGTCCAAACTTTTGGCCTGTACTGTATATACATATATATATTGTAAACTGAACAAGATTATTTACACAAACAAATGTTTGTATTATATTTAAATTATATGAAACAATTTAAATATATATAATGTGTCAAAATAGAACATAATTTCAAACAAAAATACTTAGATTATGGAATCCCTGAAATGTAATTTAAAATAAGTTTTGCCTATTTTGTAATATATTTGTGTCATGTTAGCCTGCTACGTAATAATGTTCCTAAACATAGTACACGCATACTGTACCTCAATGATTAGCAGGCCCAAACAGAATCTGTATTTATTGTTTTCAGTGGTATTCTAAATTAAAAATCTGCGGAATTCTGTGGAATATGTTTTTCATTTTTTTGCTCGTAGTGTGATAGACAATATTTATTTATGACAATTGTTTTTCAACAAAAATAACCTCACACAATACATTATACCAACATTAAAAACAAAAATGACCTCAAGCAGGCTAAAAGAACTACTTAGTATTAACATGTTAAGTGTCTATTAACAGTAAATCTTATTTTTTAAAACGCTGCAATTGTGGCTCCAAATGGGAACTATTATGACAAGAAGTGAAAATCAGGAGGAGAATATTTCGAGCAGCCCTGCAGCAGAAACTGAAGTACTTGTGCAACCTAAGTGGCACCTGTGACATCTCCACAGCACCTGATGAGGGGCTGGCCCTTGCGATGTATGAAAACTGTGTGAAAAGGTTATAGTGCCAGTTTTAGTGCTACCCCTTTGTACAGCATGGCTGTAATAATACACAATCGTCGAATTACGAATCTGGCATTTGACTTGAGTTCTTTCACTATCATATGGATACAGCTGCATGCAAAACTTCCAAATTGAATTCCTGAATTCCAAAAGGCAAAATTTGACATATTCTTCAATATTTTAAACAAAATTACTTTTTGTATTTCAATGTTTTACAATTTCAAAATAACAAAAAATTAAAAGGGCCTAGAAGCAAATGTTTGGGCACCCTGGACAGTCACTACTTAGTAGCGCCCTCTTTGGCAAGTATCACAGCTTCTACATGCTTTCTGCAACCAGCTAAGAGTTTTGTTATTCTTGTTTGGAGGATTTTCTCCCATTCTTCTTACAAAAGGCTTCTAGTTCTGTGAGATTATTGGTCTGCCTTGCATGAGGTCTATCAACAGATTTTTTGATGATGTTTTGGTTAGGGGACTGTGAGGGCCACCACAAAACCTTCAGCTTGCAACTCTTGAGGTAGTACAAGCCATGACCCTAACAAGCTTATTATGGTCTGAGATCAAGAGCTCAAATGCCCAAAGTTTTGCATGGTACTCCTTTCCTTTTGTTCACTTTAAAAATTGTACAAAACAAAAATAATATACTGATCTTGCTTAAAATGTTGAAAAGAATATTCTATCTTTACCATCATGCCTTTTGCAGATAGGTTCATCTCCCACTCATTTAACTGTTTACAGAAAAAGAAATTTCAACCTGGGGTGCCCAAACCTTTGCATGCCACTGTATCATTATGATGAACTGTGTGTATTTTGTGTGTGAGGGTCGGTGTTGTGTGATTGTTATTGTGTTGCAGAGACCTTGCGGACCACAGGGCTGCCATCATTGATAAGCTGGGCCAGCATCATGGCCACATTGTGGTCGATGGTGGTGGAGTGGTCCGTCCTCTCGGCAGAGTTTCCCACAAATGTCCCCAGAGCAAAGACAGCTGCACACCTCACCTGCAGTGACACAAACACAACAACACTCTCAACTTAAAATTGTCTTGGTTCAGTAAAGCTGCAGATGTTGTGTTGACACAATGTAAAAGAAAAAAATAAGCTTTTTTTTAATGTAGTTGGATATTTTCTGCACAGCTCTGCCCTTTTTTAACTGTCTAAAGTCAGCATGTTTGACCCTTTGCCATGAAACCCAACTATTTGTTTGTCAGACTTATTCAAAAATGTAGGTGGTGGTGGTTGAAAGTTTTAGTGGTAATTAGGGTTCAGTTTTCTCTCAGTGTGTCACTATGAAATGCACTGGATTGTCAGTGCTGTGTGCTCCAGTGAGCTGCTTTTTGTTACTATAACTCATTACTTTCTCTGCCCGCTTCATTGGATGTTTAATCCAAACTTGCCATCAGACAGAAGGAATTTGCCATGAGGGACTGGATTCACAAACTGAACCAAATGACAATACAAGAATGAATATTTGGGTGTATTGTTTGTTGTGGCAACAGAAAACTTTTTTTTTTGGTAAGGATCATGATGCGTCGTCACAGCTACTTGCTAATCTTGTGATGCAGCTTCAGTGATTCTCCAGCTCACAGATGTTGCTTTGATACAGATTGCTTTGCTCCAATTAAAGTGATCAGCTGAAACATTTCATATGAACATATTGTAATTTTCTGTCTTAAACCTAGAATAACATAAAGTAGTAAAAGCGCTGTGACTTGAAAGAAAATTAAGACACACGACTGTAATACTGGAAAGCATCTTAATCTGCCAACTTCACTCAGACAGTCTGCCAACAGCCTTCATTTAATTCTGTCATCAACAGTGAGATGTGTTAATTTAAATTGATGGTACTTTTGGAATCCACAGTTAGTGGTGGTGTTGGATTACACAACTCAGTACAAATCTGTGAGGAATGTTTGATTATCTGTGCTTGTACTACACACACTAAAAAAATGACCACAGTGATCAATCAACCCCATGATACATGCTAGTTTTCTCATCAAATGGTCATTTTGAGCGTAATAAAATGTGAATCAGTGCTTGTTTCTTTTAACTGCTGAGCAGCAGAAACTCTGGTTGAACTTTGATTTGTCTTAAAAAATATATATGTGTTATAATTAGTGTGTGCTGTACCCTGAGTTGTTTTATCAGCTGTAATGCGGTAAAATATAAAGGGGTGATATGCAACAAAGGACACTGTGGTTCTGTACACCCCCGACACTTCTGCCTGCAGAATGACTTGAATACTGCAGCGTTTCTTCAAAGCTTTGTCAGCTTTGATCACATCTTCTGTTTTGTGACATGTCAACCTTTTTACCTCAGGAGGTAAAACTCCAGCAACACTTGTGGTATGTAGAACAACTTGTTTTGTTAGACTGACACAGTTTGGCTTGTGGCCTTCATCAGGGTCATCATAAAACACACTGAGTTTTTTCCGTTACAACTTAAGTTGTAAGTTGAAGTGGGCGAGAAATCCCCACTCCACTTTTTTTTTTTTTTTTTATAGCCTCAGTCAGCACCCTTTTTTGTGTTTCTACAAGACAGTTGGTCCTTCACTTATTAAAGGGATAATTTGGAGTTTTTGAAGTGGGGTTTTATGAGTTACTTATACACAGTCAGGGCTGAATTCACAAAAGGATTGCGTGGCACGCGCAGAGGGTGAAATGCTCCACTAACTGCGCTGCCAAGCAGATTGCGTCTCGGTGCTCCGGTGTTATTTGCACGTATTTAAATGACGTAATATGCATATATTTGGCGGAAAAATTGCCCCTTTCTATGCAAATGAGCCTCATTGATAAACAACGTCTAATTCACTAACGCCAGTGCTAATAGCCACACGCAGTTTGAGTGAAGTAAATAACGAAACGAGGGAAACAAACGTGAACCAAAACGGTTCCATAATTCATATTAAATTCAAAAGATAACGAAAAAACAGCTACAAGTGAGAGGGAATAGTGATAAAGTGGTCAAACTTGGTCAAATCCACAGCCTCAACCCATCCGACACTGTTACACTGACTCACCAGCAGACATCACTACATGAGGGTATACAGTATTCAGTACTTTGCCAAACAAAGTCTGCCATTGTTCTGCCACGGTGTTCTTGGCGCAAAGCCAGCATTTAAACTTTGCCATGTGTGGCTTATTGCAATCAGGGGGAAATCAGGGGCAAACTGCACTCAGCTGCCAAACTTTGTGGGTGTGTTTGCGCTGGTATATCATTAGCGCAATATCCTTTGTGAATAGGACGTTAAGACGGAGCAAACTGTGGGTGCAAATGAAGTGCAATTCAAAGTGCTATCAGCGGCCGCAGTTCATTCTTTGTGAATTCGGCCCAGTCAGTGTTTTACCTACAGTAGATGGTGGTCAGCCCCCAGTTTGGAGAAGCAAACAGGAGTACTGACAAGGAAGCTAAGCAATGCTGTGGCTGGTGGTAGCAGCAAAACATACTTTCACCACCTAAGAAAAATCAATATCAGTGTTAAGGCAGACAGCTCTTTCTGACATTAATGGCCTAAGTTCCCCATCTATGCTTTCATCAAAGCCACTGCACACAAAAGTTGCTGGTCTGCCACTGCTTTGATCAGTTAGTTTGCTTGTGTTATTGTGTGACTTAGGTGAATACTAATCCTTTAAAACAACCAAAACAGACAACAACCAATAACACAGTAATTGACTGAGGCAGTGGCAAACCAGCAGCTCCTGTGTTTAGTAATGTTAAGACTATCCAAACTATCCCTTAAAGAATATTTGGGGGGACTAGACTTTACGCTATCAACATGGCCAACATGCTTTTTCTTATTTTGCACATTGAATGAATATTACATACATTGAAAAGTATTGTATTTCATGTCTCCATCTGCTGGTTGGCCATCACAGTAAGAGTATGCATGCAAAATATGATACTAATTCCACTACAGAAGAGACTTGATGATCACCAAAATTAGGTGGGGAAAAAAAAGTGAATTTATCAATATTGGTATCAGTTATCAGTCAAATGAGTTTTTATATATATTGGCATATTGAATATCTGCAAAGAATCTAATATCATGCATCCAAATTAAAAACTTAATTTGTAAACCTACTTACAAAAGTCCTGCCAGTACTGTGCCAGCCAATACCAGCTGTGGCATACTCTCTGTCTGATGAAGATTAAAATGTATTTACAAGACAAACCCAGCCAAGATAGCAGCATAAAAAGTGTTGACACAATAAATATATTACAAACCACATAAACACTGAAACATAGACAGAAACATAGACAGAATAAAAATATCAGTAATTTAGGTTTCAAAAACCATCTATGTAAATGGATCCTTTAAACATCGCTCAGAGTAAGAAAATTAATTTGATATAAGATTTGATCATTTCAAATCTTAATCTACATCATATCTTGGCAGAATGACATTTTTAAAAGCTTTATAACTTTTTTCTCTGTTCAGTGACATTGAGGTTGACATGTCAATGTCTCCCTTTTTACAATGTGTGTGCTCTATACAAGTGTGTGTGTGCTGTGGTGACTTGCAAACTATGACTGAACAACAGCCTCATCTAAGCTGTGTCCCCTCAGACTTTTCCTTAAACTTAATTAAACACTCTGCTTAGTCACAGATCTCTGTGCCGCCTTTCACTTTCTGTCCCCGTTCATCACCTTCCTCACTCATCTCCAAGAGCCTCTGAGGGAACACACACACACACACACACACACACACACACACACACACACAAAGACACTGCAGCATGCGAGATGTCTCAATCTAACACTAGAGGAGAATTTTAAAATGCAGTCATTTATCTGTAAGTGTCTTATTTCTTTATAATTAGATGCAGTCAATTATGATCAGTCAGTCTGAGTCTCAGTGGCCTTAAATAACACAAACACTCTCAACAGGCCTAATGTGAAATAAATGAACAACCTGGAATTGCAGCTGAAAACATAGTGCTTTGCATCTGTGTGTGTTTGTGTGTGTGTGTGTGTGTTTGTGTGTCCTGACAGATGTGCCCGCAGACCTCAGTTTCAACCCTACAGCCGAAGTAGCTGTCTGTCTAAGCAAAGGAGGAAACTACTGCTGGAAACAGATGTTCTTGTGTGTTCATGTGTGTGCGACTGCATGGAAATATGTACAGTGTGTGAGTGAGGGCACCAAGTGTCTGGGTGAACTTCAGGGCAAACTCTGTCTGGCTGTCCCTCTGGTCCACACACGACCCAGTCAGATGCTGACCATCCTGTTTGAATACTGTGGGTCCAAACTGTTATTCCCTGTCAAGTTCTACTCCATGTGTGTTTTTCTTTCACAAAACTGAATCTCATTAGTCTGTAGGTTAGTCCTGCAGAACATCTGTGTATACCAGAGAATTCCTATTTGACATTTTTCCATTGTTTTTTTTTTGAGTGTAATTCTGATATTGTTTGGAATACAAGATAAGATTTTGTTGTGTGTTAAGATCAGTAAACCACTAAATATTTCACTTCACCCAGACCTCTTGCACTGCTGCACATACATGAATCAAAGCAGGAGTGCTGAGCATCTTAACGCAAACACATGAGGCCTGGCAGCCATTCCTAGGTCGGCCCCTTTTCTGCAGCACAGAGTCAGGTACCCATGGGTAAACGAATGAAAAAGATGTGCAGTATATGTGTAATATTTTGACATCTACATCACCATTATCAAGCAGCAATTCCTTTTTTTTTTGAAAGTCAGTGACACAAGTTGAACCTTTGGTCACGTCGTCACATACGTCACCGACGTGGAGGATTCCAGTGATGAAACTCTGCAGCCAGAGGATAAGGTGGCAGCGTATGTCGAGTTCAAGACACCCAAGGAGCATTCTTTTGAGGTTTTATGGTCACGGGCGGAGCATACTTAAATGTTTCCTCCTTGGCAGTGATTATGTGCAATGTTTTTGCCATCCCTGCATCAAGCGCAGCCAATGAAAGAGACTTTTCCTCCGCTGGATTTGTGATCAAGAACAGAGAGCCCAGCTTAATGTGAGTGACTGTAGCCTGTGTGTGTGAAATCACGTGTGCGGGTCGGGTCTCAGGACTTTTGTTAACAGGTGTGGGCAGGTGCAGCTTTGACTGAGACATAATGATGAGTAATGGGTCATTTCCGGTAGGGAGCTTTACTGGTATGTGTAGGTGCAGGTTTTAAAAAAGGGACCTGTGCAGGACTCTAAAGCAGGCAAATTTCAACATCTTTCATAGCGAGAATACTTTTCATTTCAAACACAAAATGAAATTTAACAAAACACTTCAGAACACTGGACACGAATTATGTTATTGAAAAGATTTTAAACTGTTGGAGCTTTTTAGCGTTACAAAAGTGTCACAACCACTGGCGAGGTGTTGGGGCACCTGGCTCTCTCTCTCACCTGATGCTGAAACTGTTGGGGCACATGGCTGTCTCTCTTTCATCTGATGCTACCGCTACTGTGGTGTCTGCCTCACCTGTAATGTTTTCTTCCTGTCAAGTGCTGTCCTTATAATCAGGTTGGCCAGTGATCCTCGTTGACCTTGACCTTGCTCATGCCTTCTCTATCTTCCCGACTGTCTCTGAAGTAGGCTTTAGAAAACTATGGACCAGCAAAGACTTTTTAAGTATTTGTTTTATTTTTATGCCAGTCTTGGTTCTGAAATGCAGACAATAGCATGATGTGCATCCTGTGTAATTGTAATGTCTTGGGGAAAAAAAAAATAATAAAAAAAATCTTATTTTTATCATAATAGTCGTTGACAGGTGGAGGTGGGTCCCGTCTGGACTGGGACCCCCAACCCCCTCACTTCAAGGAGGCTGCCAAAGTATATTTTACAGGCCAGAGTGTGCTTGAAGATGCTCATACAGTTCGTGCGCCCAGGAACTACCCCTTTGTGCTGCTAGAGGGATAGTTTACCATAGTTCAAACACGCATACTCATACTATCATGTTACAGTATGATGCAATGCTACTTAAAAATCAGCAAAGTATCCCTCTAAGCGACTCAATTATAGCCCTACTGTTTAACTCTCAAACAAAGATAAAAAACTGTTTTTTTTTAAAAATGCATCCTAACTAAACAAAAATTGATTGTTGACTTTTTAAGATCAGGTAATGCCAGTAAACACCAAAGACTACATGAAAAAAGCCAGTAAACATAACAGCTATTAGAAAATTATGATTTAAAATACAAATAAATAATTGATGCCAAAAAGGGTGGTGAATTTACAGGTACAAAAAAAAATGTCTGTGTCTGTTCAGTATATGTTACATGTGTAGATAGGCGGTGTTAATGAATGGAGGTTTGGTTGTTTTTTAAAGCTATCTCTATGTCTAATGAAAGTAGATGATGCCACTGGGATGCTGAGAGGTTGTTTCTGTCTTTCCAATTCAGTTAAAATTGTCTTTTTACTGATTGTTAGGGGCGACCAGTGGGAAAGAAAGAAAAAAAAAAGATTTCTAAACAACTTTATTTTTTAATAAAAGTCTCAAGTTTGTGTTCTTTCCTTAACAGATGGTTGATGTTAATATTTGTGTGACAACCATGCAAACTACTTTCATCTTACAGCTGCAGCTTTAGCTAAAAGCTTGCTGAGAAAAATCACAACACCTCGTCTTGAAACAACTAAAACACTTGTATGTATATGGCGCTTGATAAGATAACTTATCTTAGATAATTATATGTGATGTAATCACTTGCAAAGCAGGATATTATTGCTTCTTCAATTGGTTTTTTTGGGATGCGGGACTTGGAAAATGATCAAAAACATCTCCTCATACTCTTTCAAATGTACCTGAAGTCTGGTATTAACCTCTCACCTCGGGGATGGGATCTGACAGCAGGGTGTAGAGCTTCTCGTGAGCACTGTCTCGAACTCCACACCAGCGCGCCGGGTCAAAGTTCTGCCAGATGCGGCCCAGGCAAATGGCCACCCACTGGCGCAGCAGAGGGTGAGGGTCTGACAGCTGCTCCAGGCAGTTGGCTATTAGGTTGCCCTGTAGACAGGCCTCCTGGGGGGGGGGGGAATGAGAGGAGGAGGAGTGATGCAGAATCATGAGTTTTTACTTTAAAATTTAAAAGGTGTGATACCTACGTACATCCAAGAAATGTAATTAGACTTCAAGGACTGTGACGTATGAAGTAATAAGAGTAGAAAGGCCATTTGTATAAGATCGAATTTCCTGTGAGTCACCAGCCATTAAACACATTCAGAAACTTTGTTCTGTGGTAGACAACACTGACCTGCCTGTTTTCCATTTTTAATAAAATGACAGTATGTGCATCATACATCAGTCTCAACCTTCCGGAGCAGTACAGACTGGGAGCAGATTTGTGCCTCATTAGCCAGTTAATCACCACTAACCTGTAACCTCACACTGTGAGATGGACAAAAAGATGTGTTGTGGTATGACGTATTCCTTTGAACCCCTTCAGCTCTCTTTAAGTCTTTTTTTGTGAACAGACGGTAATTGGTCCATCAAGGTTTGAGGCCGTCTCCAGAGCGATGGAAGAGCTGGTATCCTCTATTCCAAATGCTTTTCAAACTTTCTTTTTGATTGAATCACTTTGTGCAGAGCATTAACAAGTACTCTGCTTTTCCTGTTTTCAGCCATGTTTCTCCTTTTAATGAGGTCACACATAGACAGCACTTTATTGGCTGTAAAGAATGCTGATCTTTGTGAAAAGAGAAAGAAAAAGGTAATGTGTGTGTGTCAAGCATTAAAACTAGAACTACCAACTCGCGGTTATATGCCTCCGCAAACCTGTTGATGCTTCACATACATCTTTCCCCCAGCAGCACAGAAGATCTATATAATCAGCACAGTTTCATGGAGGACACCCAAGCTTTGTCTCACCAATTCAATATTTGAGCAAATGTCTCTCTTTCTCTTTCTGAGCTATGACATTGAGTTATGGCCAGAACATTGTTTTTGCAGATAATGATGTCAAAGTGAAGTTGACCTTTGACCTTTTGGACATAAAATTTCATCATTTCATTATTTTATCCTTTTAACCATTTGTGTGAAATTTTGTCGGAATTAGTGAATGAACATTTGTGCCAAATTTGAAGAAATTCCCTGAAGGTGTTAATATATCACATTCCCAAGAATGAGATATATGCAAGGTCACAATGACCTTAACCTTTGACCACCAAAACGGAATCAGTTTATCTTTGAGTCCAGCTGAGCATTTGTGCCAAATTTGAAACATTTCCTAAAGCAACTGTGAGATATCGCATTCATAGGAATAGGAATGGGATGAATGGACGGACGGACAGACGGACAACTCGAAAACATAATGCCTCCTGCCATGACTATCACTGGCGCAAAGGCATAAAAAGAAAGGACAGGCCCAGTTGGAATTACCTATACCACAATGACTCATGGTAAAAACAATGTAATGTTCATTTCAACTGCATTGTTTGCATTAGTACAGCTACAGTTATGTTGTACTCACCTCTCCATTACTTTCACTTTCTATTTTAACAGAAATACTGTTTTGATTCACTTTTAAATTCTGATCACTTCCACTTTTTTATCCCTGTGTTCAATGTCTACCGTCAATCAAACATAAAACTTAGTGCATATGTCAATACTGAATTGATGACAAAAACCTTCTGCTCACCTTCAAAGCCCTCTAAAACAAATCCGTCCACTTATATCTCTGACCATACCCACCTCATACCTCAGCACCATGGGTGTTAGGGCTTCCAGCTGCGTTGCCCCCCGGCTCTAGAATTCCCTACCCACACACGTTCAACAGTCTGACAGCATAACATCACTCAAATCCCACCTCAAAACTCCCCTGTTCAAACTGGCTTATCCACTGTAACACTCACTGTACCCTGTGTTTCCCTTTTAACTCTCCAGTATTGCTGTTTTTATCTCAGCTCTTATACGTGTCTGTCCAATTCAAGTCTCTTGATCTGTCTGTTTTTTTTACCTGTTGGCATTTGGTTTTATTTCTATGCTTTGTAAAGTGACCTTGGATGTTTTGAAAGGCACCTAATTCCAGTCTGTTCTGCCTTGCTATTTTTTCAGTTTAATAAAATTCAAAACTTCCTGTAGAAGTTTCACATTACAAACATACCAGGGAAGAAAAGGAATATGTTCTCAAACTAGTGCAAGTCTTTAACTGGAAAACAATGTGCAGCAAGTATTGAGTTTTACTATGTTTTTTAACTTAAGTCATTTCCATTCTAAGGGTGCCCACGAGTCTCCTCTTTACAGACATACCCACTTTATTCCTTGTCCCATGCAGTAGAAACAGGACAGCCAGCAGGACTAGATCATAGGCAGCAGGGGTGTGACATTTTGAAAACGTGTTAGGTGAACAACCAACTGCAGGAGATTTAGAAGTATCTGATAGCAGTTGGCGGCTAACTCAAAGAAGAACAGCAGCCAGAAATGTCTACAAATTGGGAAAACATTGAGGTCTGGGAGCTCCTTACCCTCTGAGCAGAGGAGGAGATCAGCAGCCATATAACACAGACAGTAAATGATTTTTTTTTTGCCATGTTAATGCAATTGTTATTGTTTAGAAAGTGCTGCTAATGGGTATGTTATATGTAACAATAGAGGCCAACACTGTTGTGTTTCATGTCATGCCCCTCATACCTCTTTTGATCCCACAATATTGCCATGCTGTCTAAAATCACACACTGGAGTGGAATGATGCCGTAGTCATTTGGTTTTGTGTAAAAATGCAAAAGTGGCATAAAAAAGGGACTTAGTAGCGACCCTATAGTGCCATGTCTGTGTAAAAACAACTTTAGTGGATCCCATGAGCCCAATTTTATTCATGTGTAATAATGTTAACCCCCATAGTAGCCATTTCACTGTGGGGAAGCCATTTAAAAAAAAAAAAAAGGACATCACTGTATGAAATGACCGATAGTGACCTCTAGGATAATCACAGCCTCATGAAACTTTAAAGCCACAAACTGCACACATCAAGCATTCAGAAGATGCATGGCTTTCACATGTATGTTGTCAATTAGGGGTTTTCTCAGCAGTTTCCAGAACAAGAAGTGCTCGCCATCCAATCAAATAAACAAAAAACAAAATGCAAATCTCAGAGAAATCTCCAAATGTCAAATGTTTTTGATAACAAACCACAGCAAGGATTTTTTCATTGTGTTCCTCAAGGTCTTGGTGTCTTAATGTGGTGTTTTGGAGGGATCTTGGACCATTTACAATTCTCAAGTGGTCAAAAATGCTTAAATTTTGCACCAAATCTGTGTTACAAGACAGATCATGGGAATAGCCATCATAAACTTCCATCATAATGTTGTAAGGAGGGCTGCCCCCTAATAATCGACCAAATGTTAGTCGACCAGAAAGGTCATTAGTCGGCAAGATTTCAATGGATGCTTAGTTGCAGAAAAAAACCAACAAAAAAAACAACGATGGAACTGTATTAGGAGCTGCACCTTTTCTAAATTAATCAAAACCTTTATGACTGGACCATGTGGGACTTTAATTTGAAAGGATACACACAGGAAGTGGCCACACTCAGCAGTCACCACGGAGTGACTTTAATTTACAGGGCTGGTACCTGCAGTTATTACACAGTCTAGATTACAACATGTTGGGCAGAAAATCTTAATTGTGGGATCATTTTGAGAAGGTGAAGGGTGAACCCAAGGTGATATGTTAACTCTGCAGGCAAGCATTTGCCCATCATTCGTTGACTACGAACATGACAAATACTCTGAAACATAAAAGTAGCTACATGTCCATGTGACGTGCACTTATTAACTAAGGTTCATTAGTACGTTTTAGTATTTCTCTGTAATGTAGCACAGTGTTAACAATGTTATTGATACTATTCTCTGATGACTATTGGTTGACTAGGAAAATTCTTAGTTGGGGGCAGCCCTAGTTCTAGCCCCTATACACTCTAAAATTCTAAACTCTAAAGTTTGAATAGGTACCTAACTAAAACACAATGTTTATTACAGATTGGTGACTAGAAAAACTTGACAGACAGTGTGGAGGTGCATCTCAAATTAATCTTCAGGTTTGCTGTTTTCAGATGATGTAAACAACTTCTTTGCCGCACACACTGTTGTACTGTCATCTCCCCCTAAAGATTCCCTATCATGCTAAAAAAGACAAAACTGAATATGTGGTAGGGTGGTGTGGTAAATAATCTATTAATGTTAAAACACCCCCAAGGGATGTTCACTTTAATTGACAGTATCTTAACACTGATCAACAAATCTGCAAAGAGGAACAGACTGGACTGAATGAAAACAGATTTCTGTTAGACAGAGCAGCAGATTGGTGAGTATGACACAAGAGCTGTGTAAATGTACTTGTATCTTGAATTTATGTAGACACAAGGTAAACATAGAGGGAATTGTTAAGTTTTCATTAACAGCAAACCATAAACTAAATGGAGCAGATCAGACAACAAGGACAAGAATTACTAAAATATAAGAAAATACACTTAAAAACTGAAAAGACGTCTTAGTTGTTTCTTCAGCATTTGCTGAAATAAAGACATTTGAAAAAGGTATGGTACATGTGTTATTTTTTGTGACAATAACACGCCATGCGTCAGCACCCTGATATTTCCAGTGAAGATAAAAGCCTTTATTGTATCACCTCATCCCCACGTATACTGCAACAAATGGACCTGTTTAGTGTGCTCAGAATCCTTCTCTGTCTCCTGCAGATTGAGGCATTGCAACAACAAATCTCTTATCAGCAGCAACATGATGCCGTCTCCTTTTTCATATGCCTCAGATCGCTCGTGCTTCGTTCCCTCAGCTCTGATAGAGCCTCCCAGTTGAACCCCAAGAGCTGGAATATTAAGACGCCAGTGCTTGGTGACATGTTCGCAACAGCGATACTGCAGTAATGAGCGCTGTTGTTGAAAGTAAGAGGGATAAATAATGGAGATGTGGAGCAGGCAGAGAGTCTCTCTGTAATGTTCGAGAGCATCTATTATTTACAGGCCTGTGAGAGAGGTAGGAGCATTTAGGAACAGTGGAATGGAAGAAGAATGGGTGTTTCTGAGCCTCAGAGCACATATAGCTTTTCTGATTTGTCACATTTATATAATGTTGAGAGAGAGAAGTACTGTAAGGTAATGAAGAAAAAATATGTCAAATAACATTCACAACCAGACAGAAAAATCACTGCAGAGAGCAGGAGAGGGGAAGCAAAAGGGAGTGATGGTGGAATATTTCAGTGTGTTGCTAGTTTGTGTGTACTACTTGAAATGACAAGCTACATCATCCTAGCATCCCACCCTTGGATGTTTGATCAGCATCAGGTACAAAAGGCTTCTGGGATTGAATACCTGGGGCCAGGGAACAGGCCGATGTGACACTTGCGGTGATAAAGTGTCACCATGGAGGTGGCTGGGACGGAGACGGATATTATAGAGGTGACTGCTGGTGACAAAACTGTCACATAACCAATATCTCCCGGAAATACACAATGGGCGATAGAGTAATCTCTCAAAGTGACGGCTGGCCCCAAAAGAACTTGTTGAGGTTCTGGTGAGGGAAGTAAATGAATAATACGGTACGTTCTCCCTTTGGGCTTCTAGCAAGCAAATGGACAGCAGTGCGGAAATACACACATAACCAAACATGCTCCCACACACACCTGTCCTGTGTTGTAGCTGTTGACGATAACGGCCAATATGAAGACAGCCATGGTTCGATGCTCAGCCTGTAAGAAAGAAAGGAACTCTGAGATCTTATGTCAACATCTTAATGCTGTCTGAAGGTTTTCTGTCACATTCTCAAGCTCCTTTCAGTAAAGTAATAAGCTCAGCGTCAAAACAAGTAGAAAAGAAGAGATGTATTCCTCTATATTCACATGGGTCACTTTCTTCACAAAAGAGACGGGTGGATACTCACTGGCATGTAACTGTCAGCCAACACTGACAGGAAGTACTTGTGTCCATTGTCTTTAACCAGGTCAGCTTGACATGACTGCAGAGACAGAGAGCAGAGAGAGAGAAAGGGAGACAAAGAGGAAGAGGAGGTTTCACTTCATTGCAGATGTTGCTTAAGGTGACCTTCTACTCATACAGCATTAACAACAGTCCTGTCATTGGGAGTATGTCCATTTCTCCCGCGGCACTACCCAAAAAACCACAAGTGTTTTATTGAAAATTTCCTGCGTAGGCGTGTGCGTCTGTCTGCTGTAAAAATGAAACATAACTTGCAGTCAAGCTCACTGGTCTAGATCAAAGTCACTGTTTGACTGAAATATTACCAAAAAGGTGTGTGGAAGAACACTGTTTTCTGTTTTTCTTAAAAAGCGTTTGACAAACAGTGTTTGTGAAAAAAGAGATGATTTATCACGCAAAAACAAAAACATTTGCACTGATAAAACTGTAGCAGTTTCACCAATTTCAGACTGTTAAATCAAAGCAGCCAACAACCAACCGACCAACCAGCCAGCCAGCCAACCAACAAACCAATCAACCAACCAACCAACCGACTCCCCTTTGTTGCTATGACAGCAGCCACTCTTCTGTGAGGGCTTTCCATAAGATTTGGAGTGTGTTCCTGAAAATTTGTGCTCAATCAACCAAAAGAGCATTTGTGAGGTCAGTTGGCGTTCTTAAGGCATCTGCCAAAACCAAATTCAGCTATCAGACTTCCACTTAGTGAAGCATGATTAATTACTTCAAACATCTAGCCAAGGCTCCGACACCTGGCATTGCGCATTGTGATGTGGAACTTGTGTGCAGCTGCTTGGTCATAGAAGGATGCTGCTTTTAGACGTACTTTGGAGCTCTGTAAAGAGTGTTGCAACAGATGATAGGAAATGTTTACGTGCCTCAGCACTCGTTGTCCCAGCTCTGTGAGATTGTGTGATCTACCACTTTGTGGCTGAGCTGTTGTTGCTTCTATCCTGTTGCTTCAGCTTCACAGTAATAGCACTTACAGCTAACCGGGGCAGAAATTTTATAAACTGACTCATCCTATCACAGTACCACAATAAATTCACTGAGCTCTTTACTGAATTCCACTTTTGTCTCTGAAGAGCTCATGGCTATGTGCTAGACTGTATGCACTTAAAGCAATAGGTGTGGCTGAAACACCTGAACACCATCAATAGTATCCACTGACTTTTGGCCATATAGCATATTTAGGCCCATAACATCATTGTGCATGCCCTTACACTAAAGACATCTGACTCTAAAACATCTTCTCTTTTTCATTTCTGTTTCTTTCATTCCTCGTGTTCCTCAACACATGCAGCAGACAGAATTCATATATCAACAAAAAGCCTGTGACGTAAAAAAAAGCTGATTAAAAACCTTAATATAATAAGTGTTAAGAAAAGATGATGCAGCATGAGTTTAATGTTCGTGAGTGTTTTACATAACTTACACTGTCCACAGCGAGGATTTTAGCCCAGATGAAAACCAGCAGAGGCCGCAGCTCTCTGGCTGAGCTCTGGAGCAGCTTTAACACATACGGAAAGATTCCCACTGACAGGGCCTGAAACACACACACACACACAAAGACAGAGCGCTGGTGTTTATAAAGCAGTATTGATATTGCAGTTACAGTCCATGCTTTGCTGTTGAATGTGTCTGTCCAAGTATGACCACCAACACACACCTGTGGTCTGAAATGTAAACATGTACAAAGGAATGGAATTAAGAGGAGGAGGAGGAGGAGGAGGAGGAGGAGCTGGGATGAGAATTGAAATTTTGACTTAAATTCAAATGTCATTAATAAGATGAATTTGTCTTTTGGGGTGTTCAATATACTACCATACCGAGTTGGAGTGTGAGTGATGGCCATGAGGGCTGGAACTGTCCCAGTGATTATGTCAAACTGAATAAACTATTCAATATTTTGAAAACAGTGTTACTGTGTTTCTTTGAAGTAATGAAAGGAAATGAAGACCAGTGGTATTTTTCTGGCTTGCCAGGTTAGCAGTCAGCTGTAGTGAAATTTTTCCTTCCAAGTTAAGACTGTCTGCTCGCTAGCTGAGAGTCACCTATCAATCATAGTAAATACACAGCATTTCTTATTGGGTCGTAAAAAAAGTATTTTTAAGAAATACTTTTTTTCAAGTTCTTTTTAAGAGAAAATTGATACTTCTCATGTCTGTCTGCTCAGTACGGAGCTGGAGCAAGGAAACAACCATTCTACATTAGCTCAGCTCCTGTGCAAAATTAAAGAGTACATCTACATAACTTTACATTTTAAAAGCTCACTAGCTAACCCATTGTTTGTTGAAAGGTCATGTGTGAAGGATTTAGGGGGAACTATTGGCAAAAATGGCGTATAATATTCAGAACTAGGTTTTCATCAGTTTACAATCACTTTAAAAAGAGAAGCGCTGCGTTTTTGTTACCTGGCTGAGTTCAGACCAAAGATTCGCTATGAGACGAGCTGAAACTTGCAACTACTTACAATGTGTCAATCTACAATGTTCTTTAGACCTGCATCTCCATAGCAACAACCCTCTGTGCTTCTGTTCTAGCTTTTCAGGATCATTTTGTAGCTGAATATAATTTGTTGCTTCTTAAAATATGTATGAGGATGGTGGGATACTTGCTAGTTGCATCCCTGAAACAGTGAAAACATAAACAAAAGACCTGAGCTTCAAACTTATCATATGCATATTAAATACACTGCAATAATTCAAATACCCAGCACTGATTAATTAGTCAGTGAGTATGTGTGTGTGACATATGCACATATGGCTAGCAGCAGCAGTGACCCACAGTCCGACACCAATGCACCGTGAGGACGGAGACATATGGAATATACATGAAATGGACTCAAACTCTGCCATGATGGTGGGCTGTGGTGACTTGAACTGACTTGGCCAGGTGACGTGTGTTATGTTCTCAAACCAGCTGCTGGTGACTTGACAAGCTGAGTGCAGGTGAGACCATCAGCCAATTTGAGTCACGCTGAGACCTGCCAGTTCACACCGCTGCAGCTTTTCCCTGCAATGTTCTAAAACGGTTTTGTCTTGTTGCAAATATTTGGTGTGAACTGGGCTCTACAATGAAACATTCAAATCTTCATGCAGAGTAGGTCCTATTCCAGTTGCACCACCATGTTTCTACAGTGGCCCAGAATGGACAAATCAAAAATTGGCTTTAGATAAGGTCATTTGCATTGTCACGTTTTTGTGTTGGCCACCGTAACTCTCTTACACACTTAGCACACAGGAGAAGTTATACTTGGTTGTAATCTGCAACCTCACCGATAAATGCTGCTACATCCTAAACACTGGACCTTTAACCTCTACAGTGTACTAAAGAAAGAGGTTTGCATTTAAACTCTGTGAAAGTCAAGCTCTTAACGTACCAGACTGACAGCCCAGGGACCCAGATCCAGAAACCGTCCCAGCAAGTCTAGGGCTCGTAGCCGATGCACCTGGCTAAGGAGGACCTGAAACAGAGCAGAGGTCAGAGGTCAACTGTGTGGCCTCCAATCCAAGAGGAAGTCTGAGATTAAAGGATGAAGAGGAGGATGTGGAGGAGCCGGAAGGACAGCAGGAGAAACGGTAGAGAGGATGAGGAGGTGGAGTGAGACAGGTGGCTCTCCCACCACTACTGGCACCAGGTCGCTCTTGTTTGTTCTGTGAGTGTGTGTGTGTGTGTGTGTGTGTGTGTGAATGCGTGCAAGCATACATGTGTGGGCGACTGGGTGCGTCCTCTTGGCTGCCATTTCACTTGGCCTCTTAAGAGGATGCAGGTTTAGGACAATACCCGAGAGTGTGTGTGTACGTTTTCTCTTTACGTGCTGACAGTGGTGCCAAACGGCATCACGATGTAGCAGGTTTGGCCATGGAGAACTATTTTAAGGAGGCATATGGTATGTGCTAAAAATGCATATGCATGTGTAGTTCATGCAGCATTAAGCTCAGTGCAGCACAGAGTCTGTGTGAGGGCTCGACACTGGTCCACGCCCATGTGACTGTCCCACAGTGTGTGTGGGAACAAACATATGGAGGAACCCAGGTCCACAAACACACGCACATTTCCACCAACACCTTTTGTATTAATAGTGTTCTCCGTGACTTTACCCTGCTGAGCGTGACCACATGAACAGAAGGAGGCTGGGGGAACACCGGCCCAGGGTTACCTCCAGCTCCAAGGAAGAGCGTGGGAATATGGACATTTCTGTGTGTGAGTGTGTGTGACGTAGGTGTGTGCTCAGGAAGAATAAGAAAAGCCAACAAGCAAGAATATAATCTCATCGCCTCCTGATCCAAGCTTAAAAAAATCCCCTTCTCTTAGACACATCTTTTCAAACTGATCTGGCACAGATGATGTTAATATGTTCCGCAGTCACACACACGTAAGCACATTTTAAGCACATGATTAAAATAACTGACAGCACATGCACCATTTCTTCATAGCAGGGCTGATAATCCCTGAGCAATGCTGCTGAATTAAAATGCGTATGAATGTGTGTACGCGCATATTTGTCTCTGTTCCTAATTTGCTTAACACCTTGACTGCAATCTCCTTTAGTGCAGTGAGTAAGCACTTTGCATCATCACGCTGTGTGTTAAGAGCTGTGAGACATGCCGTCATGGTATTAGATGATGCACATGCATGCCTTAATCACATCACTGACGCCTAATGCCAAATGTGTGTGAATGTGCTGCTGTTACTGTAACATCGGAATTTAAGAGACGTTGTAATCCCTCTGCAAAATCTGTTAATCCTTCCTGGATGAAATGGCTGTTGTCAAGACAACACTGCAGCGCATCTCTCATCCCTGAGCTCTGTTGTCCTCCCTCTGCTCATTTCATTAAAGAGCATTATTGATGGAGGACTCTCTGTTGCCCATTTCTTGTCGCTCATTGCATCTTTCAGATGGAGCCAGATTATATTTTGGCATCAAATCGTAAATCCTCCAAGAATATGCAAGTCTTTTAACTTCATTCTTATGCAACTGTGTGCTTAAAAGGGTATAAAACCTGTTTATGTGTCCATCCGTTACATCAGAGATCATGAAGGAGCCTTGAGATTACTTTGCCCTCACGGTGTAGAGCTGCATAATGTTGCGTAATCTTAAAGGCTATTGCTGCTTTACTTCCTCTCTCACTTTAAAGTCCACATCAACAGCACACACACACACACACACACACACACACACACACGCATGCCTTCACACACCATCCATGGCTCCCCAATCAGTCTGCCTTTTCCTTGGCTTTTAACAGGTCCCGACAGAACTGCTGTATGGACGGGCTGTGGCTCGCAGCACGCTGAGTCAGCAGGAAATTACCATTCAACACGGACAGTGGCACACCACTACTACGCTGTGATATAATACTATACCACAACTGTACAACCCCACGGGATGGTGGTGGTGGTGGGAGGATGAGGGAGAGGGAGGGGAGAAATATCCAACTGCTGTAACTCAACAGCTGATGCACACAGCAAGCTTTTTAGCCAGATTTCGCCCCAATTAAAGCGTCCCAAACAAATTTAATGCCACTATGGGGAGTACCGCAGCCACTGCTCCTGTCACAGGCTTTGTTGCAGGGTTGTGATGAGAAAACTGGCCTGCAAATGCTCAATTTGCAGGAAGAATTTTGCGGTGCATATCTCATTTTCTGCTAACAGATGTAAAGTGGAGACCTGGAGGAGAGAGCATCTTGTAAAAATGAGGGGGGATGAAGACAAATAAAGGGAGGGAGAGAGCGGAGCAGGGAGATGTAATAGTACAGAAAGTATTGCCGTAATGGTGATATTCCAAGCTAATGGTGCACGCTTTGCAGGTGATGTGTGTTTTTAATCAAGATGCTCTTGCAGCACTGAGTTTGCTCATAAACAACGGAGAATGAAGCCCTTTTCAAACATGGAATCTGCAAAATAACTTACACGTTATAGCATTTCAGCATTTACAATTACAATTACATAAATGATTGACTGACGATGTGAACAAGGTACAACTACGTACTTACTACGAGCCAACTAATGTTTTCATAGTGCATAGTGAACTATAATTATAAAGCTGAATTACTGTCACAAATCATAGAATGGGACAGAGAGCAAGGCTGAATTTTTTGGAAAAGGCAAACACTGTAGGATCAGCATCCCAGTTTGTTACTAGCTGCCTCGATCCAGCACAAAAAGATGATGAATAACTGCCTTTAAAGGAACAATCCCTCTTCAAATGACCATTTGTATATCTGTTACTCACCCTGTGTTTTATGGAATTAAAAAGGTTGTTTTCACTGGATCCTATATATATGTATATAGTTACTATCTGCCACTATCTATCATCTATCATAGGATGTATAGCTACAGTAAGGATGATGATATTACCAAAAATAAATTAGTTATTCACAATGCTCAGCAAAATGCACTGGATGCACTGATAACAACATTTTACTGGAAAAACAAAAACACCTAGAATAACGACATCCAAACTACAACAATCAAAACATCAAGGACGCTTAAAAGCACCAAACTTCCAACACTACTACTTAGCAAATCATTTAAAATACCTCATCAAATGGACCCATGCAATGCGTCATCACCACCACCCATGGATCGACACAGAGCAAACTGAATGCCAAGAAATAGCAGTCACAGACCTACCATTCCTCAGTGACACAATCAAATGCCACAACTGCTTCAAAAACATGGTAATCGCCACAACTCTGACAGCTTGGTGGAAAGTCAGTAAAATCAAAAACATCACAATCTCACCGACTGCTCAAACACCCATATGGCACAATCCAGATTTCACTGCAAATAAATTACCACTAGCTGGCAATTAAATAGTCTGATTGGGCGGAAGTTCGCTGCATAGATCAGCCTCTCATTGGGAGGAACAAGCCACCTGCTGAAGTCCCGCCCTACCACCTCCGGTTGTGTAGCAGTTTTCAGCACGTCCTTTACTAACTTTTGCGGTGTTTGATCTTGCGGGGATGTAGCCATTTTTCTGCCATGGTTCGCGTCCTGTAGACGATATTTTTGTGGGCGTGTTACACCAAAACCTGTTTCCCCCCGGCAATATTTTTGCAAGCGCACTGTTGCTGTGGCACCGCCCAGAATGATTGTGATTGGTTGAAAGAAATACAAGCAGCCGGGGTATTTTTTTTCTCCAATCTTAAAGGGCCAGTGTGTAAAATGGGTTGAAAACCGTTGAAAACAGTGACATCAGTGGTCAAATTCTAGATTGCAGGGCTCACTCGCTCACCCCTCCCGTCGGGCAAATGACGGTGGCCTTGTAGGGACAAAAAGCCTTGCGCAGACGCGAGTTTTTCAGGAGTAGGTCTATCTAGCGACGAGGTGAATATTTATTTAGAAATCTAAACCATGTTACGATATTGTAATGAATCACTCATGAGCAGGAGACCAGAGTAGCGTTCGGGAAAAAGGTCAGTTTATTTGAGCACTCCAAAAACTCCGGTAACACTCCAGGGGGTAAAAGACTCCGTCCCAAACTCTGACTCTTCTAGCGTAACACACACACTCCATACACACATACTCATTTACAGTACCTAGCAGGTACCCCCTCCCCTCTCTGCTCCACCAATCTCCAGCCCGCACACTGACTGACAGTGTAGCCTGTAAACAGAGCTCAGCTGTTTATTTAGCCTAGCAATATCTCCGGACTATAGCAGCTGCAATGGACGACTCTGAACGCGATTTTGAAGAGTTTCTTGTAGCGGACACAGACCCAGAGCCATACCTGTTTGAGCCGGAGCATACAGATGAGGAACTCCATGTGCTGGATGCTGAGCGGGCGAGAAGAGAGGCTGAATGCACAGAATGGGATTCGGTGCTACCATCGTTGGGGAGATATATCATCAGGAGGAAAAGCGCCGCAGAGAGTGCATCACAAGGAGTGAAGTTGCGTCTTCTTTTCCTCGCAGATGACGGTTCGGGTTCATTCTCTCCTGTTGCATGGTAAGTGTGGTCCATTTGCAAACTTTATAACTAAAAAAACTTTTCACTACTCTCCATCAACGAACTACTAACACTCTCTGCTGTTTCCTCCTCCCCCTTCCTTCCTCCCGCTGTCTTCATTGGTTTATTTATACACACGAAACGCGTTCTCTGGCTGGCTGGATTGTCCGCTTGGTCTGCCGTACATACATGGCGGCGCAAGATGGCGACCTCTCTAAAGCAAGGCCCTTGCTATATATATATATATATAAATAAAAGCATAATTATAAGGCTATGAAAACCAAACAAATTTTATTTTATAGCGATTATACACTTATATAAACATATTAATGGGTAGAATATTCAGATTCAGATTTGATAATAAACCATGCCAAATATTACACACTGGCCCTTTAAAGTGAGAGTCGGCCAAGCCAGACCTTTCTTTTCTTGAGAAAGGTCTGGTGAGCGAGACTAGCAATAAAATGGTAGGAAAAAGGGATTACACACCTCCATCACATCTTCAACCCTAACACTTCATACATTCAAACAGCTTATTGACATGTATGGCATTGAGAAACAACATATCTTACAATATAACCAATTAAAACACTCAGTCAGGGCAAAAACAGATATTTCTAACATACACTTGGAAAAACAACCACAACTATTGGACAGCATATGTAAAAATCAAACAAACTACTTCCAAAACTGTATAAACTAATATCCTCCACAGACTCTACCCAAAGCACCCCACATTCCAATATACAATTGGCTGGTGAGCTAATGCCACAACCTAGGACGTACAACTATAAATCCACCTTAACTGATACACAATGGTCATTTTGTGTCGGACGTTTTCCTTTAATGCTGTATAGATTATGTTTAATGTGATACGTACATTTTATGAACATAAAACTTGATCATACAGATTGATTATAATAACTGACTTTAATGTTCACTACTAATAATTCATTCTGCAAGATCAGTCTCTACTATTATCATGACTGCTTTCTTTCTTTTATGCTTTCTTCTTTTTCTGCAAACTGCCTCATTGGAGACAGATAAAGTTATTGATTGATTTTAAAATTGATTGACTTTCTTCGTATGTTTTGGAAAAGTAAAAGATATTTACATGTCATGCTAATGAAGCAAGGTGTAATTGAAAACTTGAAAGCGAAAATTAGAAAAGTCTGAAGGTTTGTGTGTTTGTATTTGTGTGCTTGTACCTGCAGTACGATTGGGAGCTGCTCAGGAGGGTTTCTGTTCTCCACGCCCATCGTCAGCCACACCTGAAACGCTGTCAGCTGCTCCGCAAAGAAAGGACTGTGCTGTGGACACAAAACACACATACAATATCTATCATGATCTTCAAGAGTTATTGGCTTGCTTGTTCTCTTTCTCTTTCTCTCCCTTTCTCTCTCTCTCACACACACACACACACACACACACAGAGTAATGAGCCGTTCCGCAGTGACTAGCTTATCATTTCAGAAGTGCCCCGACACAATGGGCTAAGAAGTGACACTACACTGCAGTAACGACATAAATCCTGATCTATCATGATCACCTTCCCTCTCTCTCTCTGTCTCTGTCTCTCTCTCTGCTGCCATGGCACTTTGCCTGATTGATTGGTTGCTGGCCGCAGAGTTTTTGATCACGCCGAGTGTTAATATTGCAGCGGAATTACAACAGCGTGGTGTAGACTCTTGATGGATGTAGAGAGAGGGGAAATATCAGCGCTGCGTGGCTGGATGGCTAAATTAATTTGTGAATAACCAAAGCTTAATAACTAAATACACACTCAAATACTCACCGATACATAAAAAAATAGTGCTGTGTGGTGGTTATAGGTGGTTATAGGCCGAGCACAGAGATTGATCTCCTGTATTTTGAACACCTCAGGTTGTGGATATAATGACCCATTCTGAGGTTAGAATGTAAAACTCTGTATTGTTTCACGAAGCCTACTTCCACTCTGATAGATAATGTTGTAGAAGCATTTTCTCTACGATGAGCTCCATGCTTTACTGACTTGATAAAGACTCAATTCTAGCTTTTTAATACCAAATCGAATATAATTTGATACCATCCAAGGTAAGAATAGATGATGAAAAACCAGTTATGTTATTACATGCCAGGCATTACAATCATTCCTGATGATAAAATACATTTAGTTAACACAATCTAGACCTGCATTAGCAGCAGGAAAGGGATAGAAGGATTCAAGATATAGTTTGCAACATCTGCATTAAATTTAAAACTTTGGTTGCCATCAGTGGCACCATATCCCCGTTGTGTGCCAGAAGCTGTCATAAATTGACTTTTTATCCAATTTTAAGCCATTTTTTTACAACACACCTTGTAGATCTTGGGGATTTTAATGGTACGTTTTAACCAGATGAAGTATTTTAGTCATTGGATGTCTGGATCTACAGTTATCAGAGAAACAAGCTGAGTAAACGTTTGCAGTAGCTTGAATCTAACCCCTGCTGAACAGCAAAGGAGAAACACAGATTTTTTAACACTAAGCTGCTGTATCAGGTGTTTTTACTGGTTTTATTCATTGGATCCATTTGTTTAGGAGAGGATGAGGCCTCTGCAAGATTATTCGGCTCCCGGTAAAAAAATCCTCTGAACATCTGGATCAAAAGTTATGAGAGAAAAAAGGTGAGCAGGGCAGAAGCTCAGCTAACAGCCCCTCCAGGATACCCTGAACAGAGTCAGAGAAACACTGATTTTTAACATGAAACTGCTCTATTCAGTTTATTCAGTTATTCAGTTGTTATCACTTGGTCCATTTGCTTTGGAGAATAAGAGATTTCCAGTAAAAACCTCCTGAAAAATTAAAACTAAGGGTATTCCAACCATGGGAAACTAACTTTGACAACTGCATTGCTGCTTCTTTTGTTATTGTTTGACTGAGAGACCCCTAGTGGCAGAAAATAACATATCGTATGTTTACCAATTTAAATTGTTAATCTTTTTTTCTTTTGTTTTAAACTAACACTCAACACTTGTCCACTACAGCTAGGTACTATCGCTACAGGTTTGATATGTTCTGAGTGACATTCTACAAAAAGGGATTGAACAGCCAACTGTGCACACAGTCCACTGTCGCAGCAATCCCACTTTTAGTTCATATGTGTAGTTTGCAATCAGATATAATTAAATGTAGATAAGACGTTTAATAGCTTCCGAGGCCATTCTTCAAGGATTTTTTAAAAATGTTTTATTCAAAATAATGCAGAGAAGATGAAGGTGTTTGTTTCAGCCTTCAGTCATGCCAACAGTCATTCTCTGAGGCTGCATACAGACCCAAGCACCTCCACCAATAAATAAGTAGGGCAGACTATATGTAACCTAAGAGGCAAAACCCAGGGCAAAAAAGCACCGTCTTCACTACTCACTGCTGCTCGCCAAGCTCATTGGACCTCAATCAACAATATCTTCCTGAGTTTTGTTTTAAATTTGCTCTCAAGAAAGGTCGTAAGAAAAATCAACAACAATTTTATGATGTGTTCTTAAACTGCAGAATTGCTCACACCGTCATTCTTATAACGATGAATCCCACAATCTTCAAAAGCATAGGTAAATACCTCGCCATTCCCCATAAAAGGGCATGAGACTGCAAAGAGGGTGGAACACCGGACTCCAAATGTAAAAAAAAAAGAAAAGAAAAAAAAAATTCAATGGCCCTGAAGTGGAGGTACTTCTACAGGAAGTGAATGTCAAAGCTGAAGAGGATATTCAATAACACAAAAAATGATGCATGGGATTCTATTACTCATTCAGTAAACTCTCTCTATATATATCTATACAGAAGAAAGAGGATGACCACTAGAGAGGGGCAGTCTTGCCCTTGTCACTCTCTACAAATAGATCTATAATGTCCTGAAAGATCTCTCCTCAGGGCATGACCTGCAACATCCTGCAGCAGCAGTAAATTGTGTGAGTAGACCTAAGATGAGACCGAGGTCTACTCTGGGCTGAAAACAGTGTAATCAATCACTAATTATTGGATGGCACGGTTCTCAATTAACATAACTTAAGTAAATCAAAGTGTTAGTATGTGTTTAGTGTAAAATAAGGAAAATATCTATTAGTAATATCAAAAATGATACAAATAATATAGTAATTTAATTCATTTAATGTTATACCAATGTAGAAATGAAGAAAACACAATCACTAAATATTTTGTACAAACATGTTAGCACTAAAATGTACGTTAAGTGTGCTGTTGGTGTGCATAGATTCTGTTCTCACCTAACTCAAAACCCAAATATGAAAACATTGGTGCCATTCAAGAAGAAATGTCTTCTTAAGAACAGCTGGTGGATGAGGGCCATGCTCTTAGAAGTGGTCATAGTTGAAGGCAACTCAGATGAAGTATCAACTCCTCGCTTTTCTCGTGTGGATAACAGTTGGCTTGGTGTTTTAGTAGAAAATTCTTGATAAGACTATAAAAGTGTCGAGGACAAAAACAGGATTTTGCTATCTACAAATATTTAATAATGAATAAAGGAGCATATTTTATGGTCTAAAAGGGTAAAGGAACCAGATTGAGTGGTTGGGGTCATTGTTCTGCTGAGAGTGAGGAACAGTGAGCTTGAAGACAATAACAGAGGGCGAATGGATCCTACAGTCAGGTTTGAGAGGCATGTACGTTTATCGAGGAGCCAACACACAGAAATCGCTATTCATAACGCATGTAGAGTTAAATGTTTGTTAAATCAAGAATGATGGCTTAGTGGTTAGAACAGGTGCCCCATGTACAGAGGCTCTGTCCTCGCTACAGCGGCCTGGATTCAATTCCGGCTTGCGGCCCTTTGCTGCATGTCATTTGCCCCCTCTCCCCCCTCCCCCCTTCACACTTAACTGTCTTACTCACTTAACCTATCCATTAAAGGCAAAAGGAGTAAGATAGTATGATGAATAAGACAGTACAAGCACCATTCTGCAAATTATGTGATGGAAGAAAGAGATAGGAGAGTACCGCCATAAGGACATTTTGTATTCTTTAAGAAAAGAACAAATGCAAAACATGTGATACTCTTTACTGTTTCACAACCAAAAGCAAGCAACCAATGTTTACAAAATGTATTATGAACAAGAATTATCTCCTTGCAGTTGTATGCCTCCGTTAACCAGTAAAGTTGCACTTAAAACTTACAACCATGTCTGTGAAAACATGGATGCTTCACACGCATCTTCCACTCAACAGCACAGAAGATCTGTACAGTCAGCACGGTTTGAAGGTGGACACCCAAGATTAGTGTCACCAATTCAGCATCTGACCTAGGGATGGGTATCATTAAGATTTTAAAGATACTACTTCTCTTACCAATACTGCTTATCGATCCAGTACATAAACAGCACTCTCATTGGTTCTTTTGGGGAGAAAAATTGGCACAAAATAATAACAGAACTAACAGAATTTTCTATGTCTGTCAGTACAGTATGTAAATTAACATTCTGCTACAGCATTGTTTAGAATTTAACTTCAATTTCAATTTGATCTATAAAGCCTAATATCACAAATCACTACTTTCCTCAGAGGACTTCTACAGCCTTCGACACTCCTCTGTCCTTGGACTCTCACAGCGGATAAGGAAAAACTCCCCAAAAAACCCTTTAACAGGGAAAAAATGCAAGAAACCTCAGAAACCTGAATGAATTACTATAATAGACTATACCCAAGGTGGATGGGGTAACGGGAGATGTAATATGAGCTAGGCGTTTGAAAATGGATCCTTCCTCCACCTGTATGTGATGCACTTTGGCTGGATGTTTGGAAAGGTCACAGTGACCTCTGACCACCAAACTCTAATCAGTTCATTCTTGAATCCAAGTGGATGCCAAATTTGAGGAAACTCCCCCTGGACCTACTTGAGATATTGCGCTCACAAGAATGAGGCAGATGCAAGGTCAAAGTGACTTTGACGTTTGACCACCACAATCTAATCAGTTCATTGTTGAGTCCAAGTGGACATTAGTGCCTAATTTGACGACATCCCCTCAAAGCATTCTTGAGATACTGCTTTCACTAAAATGAGGCAGATGCAAGGTCAAAGTGACTTGGACGTTTGACCACCAAACTCTAATCAGTTCATTCTTGATGCCAAATTTGAGGAAACTCTCCGGACCTACTTGAGATATTGCATTCAAAAGAATGAGGCAGATGCAAGGTCAAAGTGACTATGACATTTGACCAACACAATCTAATCAGTTCATTGTTGAGTCCAAGTGGACATTAGTGCCTAATGTGAAGAAATACCCTCAAGGCATTCTTGAGACATTGCTTTCACTAAAATGAGACAGATGCAAGGTCACAGTGACCTTGACCTTTGACCACCAACATCTAATTGATAAATTGCTGCGTCAAGGAGCATTTGTGCCAAATTAAAAAAAAAAAAAAATTCTTCAGGTGTTCTTCTGCTATCACATTCATGAGAATGGGAGGGACGGATGACCCAAAAACATAACATCACCGGCCAGGGCACTGGCACAGAGGCATACAAACACTTATATATATAAAGAAACAAGAACCATATGTACTTTTTTATAATGCATATGTTGCTTATTTTCACTTTGACCTGTGCTACAGGAATCACACTTTTCTTGGTGTTTATTATATGGCAAAAAGAAACAAAACATATATTTAGACTGGGGGCAGTAAAGGGTGCAGTAGAGGGTTAAAATATGTAAAATCTACTATGCACTTTATTTTTTCTGCAGTTCTAAATTCAGTTGTGGCACGGACCAAGAAAAAGATGCACATCAGAGGAGGATTAAAGGCTCCTGAAAGAGGGAGCAAGAAAGAAAGGGAAGATTTCCTTTAGTGGTCCTCAGAGGCTCAATTACGGTGCCAGTAAGTGTTTTCGGCCAGAGTGCAGGAGAAAAGAGAAGAGGATCGAGGATGGAAAACTGTTCCCGGGGGAGCGATGGAGAAGATGCCCACCTCCGAGGGCCAGGTGGAGGAGAGAAAAGGCTCAGATAAAAGTGCAAACATGGAAGGAAAGCCGCTCTGGTCTCACCTTCTCTGATTTCTGAGTTTTCTGATTAGTTTACATTACAAAGCACATATTGCTGCTCTCTGGTCTGTCCAGCATCTGGTGAGTGTCTGCTCACACACACATAAAATTTCTTGTGTTGACCCAGATATCTTCAGTCATCATCGGTTCAATCAGCCTCCTGCAGTGTGTTTCCATTACACTCAGCATCTCCATCACAGTCCCCTGCCATGCCAGTAAATATAACAACAAACTGGCTGAAAGTGCAGGGCCGCTAGTTTCAGCAACTCTTTTTTATTTGACACTCACACTTGAATTATTGGACCTGACGTTTTACTGTGTAATCCACTGGGAATGAATGTGTGCAAGTGTGTGTTTGAGAGATTAATAGAGATGCTGTAGATGCTGGTGGTGGAGAACTTGCAGTGCAAACAAGAACGGTTAATGTTTACAGGCGTCATTGGTGGATAGATCCGAGATAAGAGCCATCCATCAATACTAGATAACCAGTAACCACTAACCAAGCATCTTTCCACCTTTCAAGTGAGGCTGAAAACGTCTGTTTTTCTCTCACATACACACACTTACTCTGAAGGCGGTGCCCTCCTCGATGATGGTAGGCAGCTGAGAGAGGCAGATGTCCACGGCCAGGTCCCACGCCTGCCTGTAGAGAGGTGACAAAAACACAAACCACATTAGAATGATCACATAAATTATTAAGGAATACCGAAACCGCACACATTTGTTTCAATGCAAAGAGAATCTCGTTGTGACCTGCAGCAACAGAAACAAATGCATTTCAGCACTAAGACCCCCGGTCATTGCTTTCCCCTTCCCCACTCCACCAATCACTCTCATTCTTCTCTGCACACGTTTTCTCCCTCGCATCTTCCCCATGCACATACACCTCTTTAAATTCCCAACCCGAGGTCCTGTGGAGGGCAGCAAGGAGCCTTTAATCCCTTTCTAAACACCAGCGTTCTCTCATGGTCATCATATCTAATTCATGGGGTTATGTAACTCACATCAAACCTTATCGCAGCTTCTCTAGTCTGTCTGTCTGTCTGTCTGTCTCTCTTTCCTTCCACTTTCCCGCTCCTTTTTCTTGCAGCAAATTGAGCTCAGGGCCTCAGTGGGGCTTTTCCCTCTCAGTTAGCATGAGTTAGGGGTTGAGTCATGTTCCCAGTTGATGCACTGCGATGTAATGTGATGCTCAACGAGTGACACTGAATTCACTCTGTCTGAGATTCATTCTGCTGCTTAAACAGCTTTTCCTATAAGATGGGAGCATATAATAGAGTTGTACTCCTGGTCAACAGCACAGTGTTAAAGGGATAGTATTTTTTTTTTTAAGTCAGGTTGTATGAGGTACTTATCCATAGTCAGTGTATTACATACAGTAGATGTCAGTTGGCACACCCCGATTTGGAGAAGCAGGCTGGAATCTGACATAGAAGCTAAGCAGTCTACTGCTGTGGGAGGTCAGCAACAAAATGTATTTTAGCCACCTAAAAAAAATCACTATCAGATCAAGTGCACACTATATGTAGAATATTTTCTCTGCTTTACATTAATGTCAGACAGTGACTTCCAACAGAAAAAATCAGCTGTTATATCACTCTCTTTAAAGCCAGACTTCACTAAGAAAAACTGTGATTTAACATGACTGCACACAGGAGCTGCTGGCCTACTGCTGCTTCGACTAGTTAGTTGGTTTGTGTTATTGTTTGACCTTGGTGTTTAAAGGGTTAGTTCTGATTCCCCAAAGTCACACAACACAAACCAGTCAAAACAGCAGTACATTGGCAGCTCCTGTCTTCAGCAAGCTAAATTTACTGTTTTTTCAATGGAGTCAGGTGGCTTTGACGAGAGCATAGACAGGGAACTGAAGCTGTTAATGGCTCCCCCATTATAATGGCCTGGATGATGGGAAGATAAAGCAGTGAAATTACTCTCAATACTGCGTTCACCTAAACTGATATTTTTTAGGTGGGACTGTTTGTGGTGGCTAAAATACATTTTGTTACTGACCTCTCCACAGCAGTAGGTTGCTTTGCTTCCATGTTGGACTCCAGCCTGTATCTCCAAACTGGGAGCGTGACAGTTACTTTATGTAATACACTGACTATGGACAAGTACCTCATAAAGGGGGGAAAAGCGGGACTGATTATCCAGGAACAGACTTTGGTGCTACGCCCCTAACCTCATATAACCCCACTTCAAAAGATCTGAAGTATCCCTTTAAAGGTGCAATTGATCCACTGCTGTCATGCAAACGTACAGTACAGTACAGTATGTGGCTGAAAAAGCACTACTGTGTAACTGGAAAACTAGGCTCTAAGTTTGCTCCATCAACCACTTTTAAATTGTTCTAAAAGTCAACAAACAGGCAATTTATTCCAGGATTCATGTCAGCTGGTACAAATTCAGGCATTTATAAATTCATCTGCTACTGCAGTAGGCACAACATTTAGCCTTCCAGCAAAAATGTCAACAGTGCAAAACAGACATTACTGCATTATTAAGAACAGCTTTCCTGCCATATAAAGGCCTGGCTTTAAAGAAATGACACCAGGTGTAATTCAGATTGATGGTGTGCGCACCGATTGAGCCAAAACTTATCTAACAGATTTGAAGCAAAGACCTTTGCTTGCATTTGTATGTATGTTGTATGTATTTACATTAAATTTCCAAAACAATTGGTGCTGCTATACATAATATTTCTGAAATATTTTAAGACTATAAAACATTAAAGAATTGGCACTTCTCTGTGCACATATCAGTGTAGTCTTTTGTGAATTGTTTCTGTTCCATTTAACTTATTTTCTGGGCATCTGCTACAGCAAGTGTTTGTTTACAGCATGGCTGTAAAATCACTAATATACCAATGTAGTCGGGTCCAAGTGGTAATTGTTAATTGCAAGGAAAAGTCATTTACAGACTGGGACCAGTAACCCTTTGGTAGGTTTAGTGTTTGGGGAAAAAAACATTTCATACACAAGGGTATGGTGCTTATATTTTTCCAATACTAGCTGATTAGCAAAAGTTACACAGTGTCAGATTCAAATGTCTCAGCTGTTGTCTGTGATGGTGCCCACAACCCCATCGTATTGTGCTATCTGGACTGACCGCTGCTAAGCAAATGATTTCCACTTCAATGGAAACCTCATTCTCTCTCCATCACACTTGACTTTATTTTTCTTCAGAATGTCATCTCCTCTGAGCTTTCTACGTGATGAAGTAGCGGCGCCACTGAATGTACTATTAACTCATATGGAGTGCTGATTCCGTGTCCAGCCTTTTGAAAAATGCATGTGTAAAGTTGGTTTAATGCTATTTTACTCATCTGAATTAGATTAATTTGATTATATTAGCCTTATAGGATTCAGTGTTACTTTGTTTCTGTGGTTCTTCTTATCGTCTGTTTGTTCTCGTTTGGCCTGTTTGTTTTGTAATATGCAATATAAATAAAAATAAATAAATAAAGATATTTAACAGCTGAGGGTAGAGCTGGGTGTTGAAGAATGATCTCATCTTTTTCTTATTTTGTACCACAATAGATTTTAAGGTCATCTTGAGGTATCCACAGACACAAGAAAGCACTGAAATAAGGAAATCCTATAGTAAGATTGTACATTCCCCTGTAATTATCTCCACCAGACATAAACCTAGAGGGAATAATGCACAAAATAGAATAGAACAGAATCGAATAGAATCGAATAGAATAGAATAGAGTAGACAGAGAGGACTGAGAGATGGATGGGCAAACCAAAAACATAATGTCTCTGGCCAGACCTATCGCTGATGCAGAGGCATAAAAACCCTGTTTCTGTAATCTTTGCCGCCATTTTGATAGTAAGGGAGCTGGTAGGGACAATTCCAGACTCTACCAATTACACCCTTTTAGTTAACAAGAGTATTTAAGAGGTAAATATACTTTTTGGTCCCATTGTTTAAAACAATAAAATCAAGGCGACATAAGTAAAGGTCAATCATAAAATAACCATCTCCAAAACATGTGCTTTCCGTCAAGTATCATAAAGGTATGTTTCAGGTTTCATGACATTAAGTATTAGAATCAGAAACTGTAGAAATTTTTTCGGCAAATATTCATCCCCACTGGTGTTTATGTAATCCAACAGTGAGGAAACAAGCAGATAGAGCAGTTTAATCAGCAAAGACATGCTCACAGGGAGGAGGCTGCCGCACCGTTTGAAATGACAGCAGTAACTCGGATGATGCCTGCCAATACGAATGAGTAACTCATCACCAAAAGCTGTCTATGTGTGTGTGCATGGTGTGTGAGATGAGGGGACGGCCGACAACAGAGGAGTGTAGGGGACCAGTTGGCGGCTGACTAAGCTCTTTTTCCTGTTGCCTGCACAGAGTGGTGCAGCGACGCTCACTCACAAACACACACACACACACACATACAGTATAAAGAAGACACACACACCCACACTTTAACTGCCCACAGGGGAGTAATCAGCCTTGGGTTTATCTGCTCTCCCCTATTCTGCTCCATTTGAATAACAATTGCTGTTTGTGTTCAGGCACCAACATCGATCAACCAGCCCCCAAATTGCTTAATACCCCCTCTCCATCGTCCTCCCCCTCCCATCTATGCTGATCCAAACTTTTATTTTTCTACTCGCCTTTTATCCCTGGCACTTCCATTTTTTATCGTTCTCTCAGTCTTCTTTCCTACACTCTTAAAACACCTCTCTGTCGTTATTCTGTCCTCCTTAATACTGCATGTGCTTCTCTGAAACAAAGTGCAACTCCCAGTTTCTTTGGCGGTAAACAGTGCAATATACCCACAATCTAAAATAATGGGTACAAGCCAGAAAGAAAGACTATTGCTTGCTCAAGGAGCAAGGAGCAGTGTTCTTTATAACAAGTGATGCCAGGGTGTTACACAACAAGTCTCTCCTCCAGGCAAAGAGAGTGAGAGAGTGTTAAAAAAAAAAAAAAAAAAAACATGAGCCAGATAATGAGTGGGAGAGGTGGAGGGAGGCATTTATAGAAGACCAAGATGGGAACAATAGATAGTGGGAGAAGTGTTTGTGTAACTAAAGGGAGACAGATGATGGGATAATGTTTCTCACACAGTGTGGAGGAGCATGTGAAATCAGTGGCTTTTCAGCACCTCTGTGTGTCAGTACACAATTCTCGTAATGACAATACATGGAGGTCAAATCTGGAAGATACACTATTACTGTAGAACTTGTGTTTCGAGCAGTGTGTAAAAGGGACCACACTCTTGCGTCTCATTCAGACCTCAGATTCCAGGTCCGTCCGGACGAAACCATGTAACAATGTTCTAGGGTGTAAAATGGCCCGTCTCAGCTTGACTCAAGCCAGCTGATGCTGTGTCACCTGCGGCTCATGTCAAGCTGCCAATGGCTGGTTAAATACTGCAATCCATTGTAATTGAAACTTGTTTAAAAAAACCCTTAGAATTCCAAGTTGGAAACTTGGGCAAGAACTATCTTGTCTGAGCTTCTGGACATTAACACATATGACGTCACGGCAACATGGCGGCCCACACAGTGAACCAGGCAGAAGTACCTTATCATCAATTTTTACTTTATGCAGTGTTTATGTTGTGAAACGTGCTGTAACAGCAAAACCAGATGCACACAAGTTCTACACTTTTATGCC